TATTGACCAATTTTAATTACCAATATCTTAAGCAAATAAAGAGTTCTATGAAAAATGACTATAACCACCTTAATCAGTGCGCTTTAAGGATGCTATATCCCTAGTTTCAAAACAATACAAGCTCAAAATAAAATTTCATTTCCTTAGTTGAACAAAATTTTTGAGCACCCATAGTAAACAAAAATACATATAGTCCAAGAATTAGAATTGATATCGACCTCAAAGCTTCTATTCTAACTACAACTGGGACTTCCTCAGTAGATCCAAAAGAAAGTACTAAATTCAAATCAGTTTTGAGAATTCTATTTATCATTTTCTATATTTCAACCATTATAAGTAATTTGAAATATTTCCATAACCAGAAGCACTTTAACCCAAGTTAGAAATTCTATTATATAAGTGAGACTAACTAATCTAACTGCACTTTGTTTCATGAATTAATTATGCTTGAGACAAAAATTATCTCTTGATAAAATTCCGACATTTTTGAAAAATTCAAACAACAAACATAATTTTTTGAAAACTAAAGCAATTAATGAAAAACTTATATCTATGAGATTCTCCATGCTCACTTGATTGATACATGTAGTTAGACTTTGATCAGACATTCAAAAATATCATAAATGTTGAAATCCTTGTACCTAGTATACACGTACCTGCTACAACCATTAATTACCCAACCAATAGTAAATTGATAACCAATAGTAAATGCTCATCATAATACTAGACCACTGCTTCTACAAGATCTAGAAGATACCTTTATTTTTAGTATAATATATCTACATTTTCCCGAGTGGCACCTCAAAACTGTATAAGCAGCAAAATTTCACCACCAACAAATACGATAACCCTTAGAAACAAAATCTTTTGTATATTCTTAGCCAGCGACACAACCTCCATATATAGCAGCTTATCCAGCTATAAAAAGCATATATATATACCCCTGTTTCTGAAATCCAAAAATGATTAGGACCTTATACCTAGTTGAAACGATTGAACAACCAAATCACATTCATAATAACAATATCCATTAATAATATTTGATGTGATTGGTTCTAGTGATATAGCTTTAGTCATTGAAATATATAATCACTTTAAATTGAAGTCTATTTTCTAGCCATCATACCATATGCACATCTCAGAACCATTACCACTCATGAATTCATACGGTAATATCTTCAGATCTCTCGTGTCATCGCCAATTGTTGGTCTTTTAGACCAGTTCAAAGTTACTTTGATATCTTCTTGTTGAGTGGGGGTGATTCATCTGCAAATATATCATTATGACTTTTCAAACTTGTGATTGAAATTGTTTCCACTGAGTTTTAATCCTTTTATCAATCTGTTGATGACAATTAATCCTTTAATGAGTCAACCACTGGGTACTTCAAAGCACAATATTCAAATAATACATCCTCAATTGATTTACCAAACAACTTTTCAGCATTTTGAACATTGCCAAAATATCTAATGGAATATCAAGTTGATTTCAATGATTGATGGACTAAAGAGCTTTATGGTCAGTATTTGATGGTATGAATAGATAATTCAAGGTTCCATACTTACATTATATCACTAATCTTGTTGATCTTGTTGTTGTTGTTGTGTTTGAGGAAATTCAAAAAAAGATTTGTTTTCAAATTTCCTGTGCCAACACTGAGCTTCCAGGCGGTTCTTAGCAAGTTCTCCATTGTTGGATATTTTATCACTATGAAAAGAACAACCATTATTTATTTATTGAGAGGTGAAATGTTCGAAAGGCGAAATTTATACCGATGAGACTCTCTATATTCAATCGATTGATCGTCCTTCTACAACTGGAGAAACTCCAAAACGTTTAGCATGAAATAGATTTACTTAAATACTTGAATGTGTTTTACCAGCTGACAGAGAGCTTCTATGGAAATCAACTTTTCATAATAATGGAACGAGCCATGATGTGGTCTTCTCAATAGAAAAGTCCGCTTTCAATGCTTTTAGATCAGAGCTTGATGTTCCAACGTAAACAAAGTATTCACCTTTCTCAGAAACCCATTTGTTTTTCAATTCATCAAAGAAAGCAGTTGATTTCCCAAGGTTCAACTTGAAAGAAATGTCCGACTTGACATTCTGTTTCAATTCAACTTTAGTAAAAGCCTTGAGCTCTTTCACAGGTTTTTGAATATTTAATTTTTTGGAACCAACATAAAGCTGAACTACCTCAGCTCCATCATATGAGCCAACATTCTTTATAGTAAGGGAAACAGAGAGCTTATCTTCAACAATATTAAGTCTTAAACCTGAAAGTTCAAATCTAGTATATGATAATCCATGTCCAAATGGAAAGACAACTGCTTTGTCAACCTTCTCATAAAACCTGTATCCAACATATATATCTTCCCCATAAAGCACCTTCCCATTGTTTGTTGTATTGTTTATGAGTGATGGAGTGTCTTCAAATCTTGTTGGGAAACTTAATGGAAGTTTTCCAGAAGGATTAATATCACCATATAAAACGTCAGCTATCGCATTCCCAGTTTCATCACCACCATAAGATGTGTAAACAACAGTTGAAGCTTTGGATACCCAAGGAAGCTCAACAGGAGTTCCTGCTTGGATCAAAACAACAGAATTTGAATTGGCATCTAGTACAGCTTCAATAAGTTTATCCGAATATCCTGGAAGTTTCAAATCTTCTCTATCACCACCCTCAGATTCCCAGTCTTTATTCAGCCCGGTGATGATAACAACTTGATCAAAAAGTTTGGCATTTGCAGCAGCTTTTTCAATCTCCTTTTCCGGATCTATCACCAAGGCTCCACCAAAGCGCAGACCACCACCACCATAGAATGTTTTGTTTGCACCTTTTGCAACATCACTTGTAGCACCTGACCCAAATTGAACTACTAATTTATAGTGTTTACCGCTTGTAACTTTAAATTTACCCTTTATTTCAGGAGTTCCAAGCCCATAGAAAGATTCACCCAATTCCTGATTGGTTGCATTGTCGACAACTAATTCATCTTCAATGAACAACTTTGCTGTTCCAAAGACGGCCAGTCCAAACTCGTACACACCATCAAAAGCAGGAATAAAACTTGAGACCAATTCAGCATAAAACTTTTCAGATTTCAATTTTGGATGAACATAATCATTCATTCTGAAATAGTTCACATCGTCCAAAACCAATGTGTCAAAAGGAACTCTACTTGTATCCTCAGGTGGCTCATTGTAAATTTTAAACAATGTGCCATTGACACCTTCATGATATAACTCATGTTTCAAACTTGGTAAAAACTTGTGGTTATACGCACCAATGTTAAAAACAACATTTTCATCACCAATTTTCTCTTTGACACCTTGAATTGGAGAGACTGCATAATAAGGAGTAGCTAGAGCAGATCCACCCCCTGAGAATGCTGCATAAAGTGCATTTGGTCCAATCACTAAAGTTCTCTTTTTTTGAAATGGTAGAACGTTTTGATCATTTTTCAGTAAAACAATACCTTCGCCTGCAACTTTTCTCAAAAATTCTCGATCTTCTGGTGCATTTCTTTCAGCTTCTGGAGCATTTTCTGGAACCCCCGAATCTTTAACTAGTTTCACCAAGTTCAAAACATTAAGGGCCCTTTCATCCAATGTGGATTCCAAGATTTTATTTGAGAGCAAGCTATGAGATACCCTTTCACCTCTCCATCTTCCAGGTCCTGGCATTTCAAGATCCAATCCAGCATTCAAAGCATCTGAAGTTGAATAAGTTCCCGTCCAATCAGACATTACCAAACCATTCCAATTCCATTCACCCCTTAAAATGGTTTTTAGTAAATATTCATCTTCACTAACATGAACACCATTAACTTTGTTGTAAGAAGTCATTAAGGCCTTTGGATTGGACTCTTCAATTGCGATTTCAAATGGTTTCAAATAGATTTCTCTGAGCGCTCTTTGTGATATAACAGAATCTGAAGAGAATCTTTCATTTTCTTGATCGTTTCCCACAAAATGTTTTATTGTTGCAGCCAACCCTTTACTTTGAAACCCATTGATATATGAAGCAGCCAATTTCCCTGATAATAATGGGTCTTCACTGAATGACTCAAATCCTCTACCACCATTTGGAATTCTTTGGATATTGACCGTCGGAGCCAATAAAACATGAACCCCTTTAGCCCTAGCTTCTAAATCTAAAAACTCACCAACTTGGTGTAACAATTCAGTGTTCCAAGTGGATGCCAATGCTGTTCCAACAGGAATTGCTGCTGTAGGTGTGCTATTGAAATGATGCTGACCTCTTATACCGTTTGGACCATCTGAGGTCCTTATAGATGGAACATTCAAACGATGAATAGGATAGGTGCTCCAATAATCACCCCCTTTATCAACTTGTTAGTGTTATGTTTTGCTTTTTGAATCTTGTGTATACATACCTGATAATAGACCAATTTTCTCATTAGTGGTTAGCTTCTCGAGGATATCCTCGACATCAAACTTTTCAGCCATGTTGCTTGATTAGTTGAGGAGAACATGATAAAGATTGGGAGGAATCTGTTCAAGTTTATAAATTGAACCATCATCCTTTGAAAAGTGTGTAAAGTGCGCCTATTCCCATATTTGGCAGTAAAAGCGGTGCTACAATTTTCGCGGTATTAAACTTTTTGTAAGCTGCGAAAAAAACGTTCACGAGAACCACAGTTCAAAGAAGAGATGCAAAAAAGAGTGCTCAATTCTTATAAGGCTCAAGAGTAAATGCTAATGGTAAAAGGGTTTCAATGTGTTCAAGAAGTGCCAGAGGATTGATAACTTTACACATCATAACAGTATTTTGACGATGTAAACACAGTTGAAGAAATCCCATGATGTATGGTTTGGTATCCAATTGATTAGGTTCTGATATTGAAGATGATATATGTGGTGAAATGTGGCTCAAAACTTTATCGGTGTGAATTTTGTATAAAGTTGAAGAAATTGAACCTGAGATCTGGTAAAAATATATTATAAGCCCATACAAAATTTCTTTAGATATGACTGAAGAAAAAGTTGCCAATGAGGTTCACACAGATTCTGTCCCTGAAAATGATACCTCTTCTACTTTCAAAAAGATTCAACTTGCTGTTAGATCTACTGGATTTTTAACCTATTCTGAGGAAAGGAAACTTTTGAGAAGAGTTGATTTGCGTTTGATGCCACTCTTGATTCTATTATACCTTTGCAAAAATTTGGATGTCAACAATATCAGCTATGTCACAACAATGAACAAAGGGACACATCACAATGTCTTAACAGAGCTCAAGATGACTAAGGATGATTGGTCATGGACAAGCACTATATACTTCATCCCATTTGTTATATTTGAAATTCCTTCTACAATCATGATGAAAAAATCTACACCTAAAGTTCATTTGTTTAGAATTGCTTTTCTATGGGGTGCTGTCACTGCTTGTCAAGCTGCCGTTAAAAACAAAGCTGGATTGTATGCATTACGCTTCTTACTTGGAGCAGCAGAGGCTGGAATGTACCCTGGGATGCTTAGTCTCTTATGTTTCTGGTATAGACCAGATGAAATCACCACGAGAATGGCTTTTTTGGGTGTGTTGGGGTCTTTTTCCAATATTTTAACAGCATTCATTACTTATGGTTTCAGTTTTGCGAGTGGCAGAGGAGGTTTATCTGGTTGGCAATGGGTTTTCCTCATTGAAGGTATTTTCACTGTGCTCTGCTCGTTTTTAATTCTTTTCTATTTACCTAATTATCCAGATTCTGCAATCAATTGGCTGGAAGAAGAAGAAAAGGCTTACTTGTTGGCTAGATTACCTCCACAAGCTCCTAAATCAACAGATGCAAATTTAAGTTTACCAGATATCAAAAAGGCATTACAACTTTCTACAACTTGGGCATTCTCCTTTTTGAAATTATTTCAAAGTTTAGGAACATACGGGTTGGCATTTTGGTTGCCTTCAATTATACAAGATAGCAGCTCCACAAACTGCACCTCTTCTAAGTGTCCCGTCTGCTGCAATGGCTGTATTTTCAGGAATTCTATTTTCCTACTTTGTTGATAGGGCTTATTTTCCTCCAGGGTACCTTGTTTTTGCATCTTTGGTAGTTTCATTGATTTCATTTATTATTTTGACAACAGTTCAATTGAAACCAGTACTTTATGCATTCATCATAATAGCAACTCTCTCATCTGCTGCTGATGGTTCAGTTCTGAGTTCCTGGATGACCCATACTTTAGAAGGGTCTTCTCAAATTGGGTTTGCGTTTGCATTTTCAAACTCACTGGCTCAATTAGGTGGTATAATTGGTCCTCAAATTTTTAGAGCTCGCTACGCTCCTAGATATACTGTCCCATATGCTGTTTGTTTAACATTTATTGGGCTTGCAATGATTATTGTTACATTTATTTGGTTGAAAACTAAAAACGTTACTTACAAATTGATGAGAGAAAGAAGACAAAGATTGAAAGAGCGTAGCGTCGATCCAAATGAAAAGCCAGTATACAACCATGAAGTTAGTGAATTAACTGAGTTCAAATAAATATATTTCGTATCGTACAGGCAATTTGTAGTAATAGATGGCGTGGAAATGAGACAAAATTACTGTGGATTTCTCTTCTGACGCCACACATATCGAGGTTCAAACTTTCACAACTATATAAAGGGTGTGTATAATTACCAGCTCAAGTTTATTACTCTCTTATTATTTATTCACTTCCTTCATTCAAGAGAAAATGGCTCAATTCAACGATAACGATCCAAAAGCATCAGGTCCTTTAGAGGCACCATTCCTTAAATTTTACAGTGCAGGTACCACCAATGGCCAAAAAGTTGCACTTTTACTAGAGTTGTTAGGTTTAAAATATATTTTAAGACCAGTTGACTTTAGAAAGACAAAGGAAAACAAACAAGAATGGTTTTTGAAGATTAATCCAAATGGGAAAATTCCTGCAATTCTCGATGTTGACTCAGAGGGCAACACTATTACTTTGGCTGAATCAGGTGCTCTATTATTATATTTGGCAGAAAAATATGATGTGAACCACAAGTATTCATATGCTTCAACAGATCCTTTACATTGGGAAGAAGTTGAGTTGTTATTCTTCCACGCCAGTGGATTGAATCCAGCACAAGCCAACTTGAATTGGTTTAGAAACAATTCACCAGAAGACGCCAAAAACATTGAAAGATTCAACGATGAGGTTATCAGAAGTTATCAAATCCTTGACGATAAACTAGCTTCAAATGGTTCAGGATTCTTGGTTGGTGACCACGTTTCTTTAGCTGATTTGATTGCGTTACCACATGCCAGAGTTTTGAGTAACAGTGGTATCGATGTTTCTCAGTTCAAGAACTTGGAAAAATGGGTTGCTAAAGTCAGCGACATCCCTGAAGTTAAAAAAGCTTTGGCCTTGTTATAAATTGTGATGTTGTAATAAATAGATCACCAAAAATTTTGTAGAATAACCTCCGTAATTCGCGAATCAACAACTACAAAAAATCAAAACAAATTGTGGATACCTAAACAAAAAGGACAAAGCTCTAGAATCAAAACATGAGCTCCAAGGTTGAAAAGCTGCCTACCAAAAGAACAAGATCCAAAGCTGGATGTATCAATTGTAAGAAGCGTAAGAAGAAGTGTGATGAAATCAAGCCCATCTGTACTGGTTGTTTGAAAAGAGGAGTCACATGCCACTACAAATTAACCACTTTCCAAGAGGAAGAGGATGACTCAACAAAGATACAAACGGTGAACTTGAACTTTTTGATGGATAATGATGAAAGTAGCTGCCATGGTGAACTCTACAGTGAGCTAATATGGCGTACGCTGGACTCTGAATCACTTTATGATCATTTGATGTTACCCACAGAGCTAGAGATAAGGCTTCCTTTTGAACTTTCCACAAGGGAGTTGAAATATTTTGAATACTATTGTAAGGAAATATCACCAAACCTCTCCATATTACCTCAAAAATTCAATCATTACTCAAAGCTCTACATACCTATTGCATTAAAAGCAAAATCGGTTTTGTTAACACTAATTAGCTGGGGTTGCCGGGTTATGAATCAAAACAATTTAGAATATGACACTACAACACAAGATAATTACCTTGAACAGATAAAGTCCATAATAGATAAAGACAACCAAAATTTGAACAAGGAAAAGTTTCTTTCAAATTTCGTGAGCTATATGTTGCTTGTTTCTATGGAGACTTCATTTGGTGATACAACAAAATGGCCAATATATTTTATATCATGTTTCAATCTACTCAATAAAATGCCTGGAAATTTTCAATATTTGCTTCAGGAATTTTCAACAGATGGTTATTTATTAGCTGAAAACTTTGCTTATTTTGATGTTTTGGCTTCTCAATCCAATGAGAATGGAACATTTTATCCGATTCAAGAGTACCAGGATGTCTTCACAAATATTGGTAATAACATACATGACCCTTTACAAGGGTGTGCGAGACCAATAGTTGTACTCATTGGTAAAATAATTACTTTACTGGTAGAGTACAACACTTTAAAGACCACGTTTGATTTGCCTGAATGTGATAAGATTGGTTTACTACATAACATTATGACTAGAGCTGATATCTTGGAACATGAAATTAGATTTTGTAAACCAGATTTGAGTGCTCTTATAGGTGACAAGACTCAACTTGAAGCTCATTTAACATTTTATGAACTTTATCAAATTGCTGCCCAAATCTATTTGAAATTAGTTATTAAAAAATTACCACCAATAGTTCCAGAAGTTGAAGTATTGAATTTCAGCTTAAAACAAGATCTTGAGATATTGATTAGTTCCGAATTATTACAAAAAAATTTAGCTTTCCCAATGTTGGTTCTGGGAATAAGTACAACTGGACAAGAAGATCGCAAAGATGTTGAGTCAATTTTTCAAAGACTTATACAAAAAACAGGGTACATGTGTGGTTATCAGAAAATTTGGATTGTTGTGCAAAAAATTTGGCATTTGAACAATAATGGAACTAAAAATATTGATTGGTTCAAAGTTACCAGTCAATTAGGATGGAGATTAAATCTAGGAAGATGAAAGCTTCTCGGGTAAATCATCTAAATCTGGTCTTCTTCCTGAATCAAAATCAATTTCATTGAATTTTATGAAACCATTTTTAAAATAAAAAAAATCATAGCAAAACCATACTATAAAGAATAATGGTAGCATGATATAACCATCAATGAATGTTTTGTAATCAAATGGGACAAAACATGACCAACTTTGAACCAAAGTCAATACGATTCCTAAAGTAATTGCAATATAATTTGACCAAGGAAACAGTGGTGCTAAAAATGGTAACTCTTCTAATGGTAATCCATTTTTGATATAGGCTTTTCTAAATCTCAAATGAGTTATTGAAATACATGTCCAAACAATAAATGAAGCAACCCCTGTAACGGAAACGATATAATTATATGCCACGCTTGAACCTGATTTATAAGACAAAATAGACAAAAACCCAAAAAGATGAACAAAATGAATGGCAACATAAGGAATACCTCTTTTATTGACTTTTGTAAAGATTTTAGGACCATAACCCTCTTTAGCCCAAGTGAATAATGCTCTTGAAGCGAAAAAAATTGCAGAATTAATAGAACTGAAACAAGTGATCCAAATCATGGTAGTAACAAAATATTTCCCATTTGCCCAACCAGCATTTGTAAAAGCAATAGTCATTGGTGATTTCAAAACTTTATCACCAGAGGTCAACATTGGATCATTATAAGCCACTGTTATACCGTAAAAAATAGATAACCCAAAATAGACATAGAAAACTCTTATAAAAGTGTTTCTAACAGCAACAGGAATGGCTTTTCTTGGATTTCTTGACTCACCTGCAAGCATGGACACACCTTCAACTCCACTATAGTACACACCAGCATAAACAAACGAGTTTGCAATACCTTTGAAGCCAGACCTTAATGGGAAATTTCCAAATGGGTTATCAGGCTTATGATCTTTAATACCACCCCCTGCATAAACGATAGCGAAAATGTAAAACCCTGTTAAAAACATTAGTTTCATAACTCCCAACACATATTCACTTTCACCCCACCAACTAACATCCAAAGTTTGGAAAATTGTGAAAACAAGCCAAAATATTAAAAACCAACCATAAGTTGGTATTTTCGTTGAATAAACTTGTAAGGCAGCAGTTAGAGAAGTGTATTCTGATATGATATTTGTTATCCAAACCACAACATAGTAGAGAGCCACGGTTGCACCAAAGCCTCTGGTGACAAATCTAGAAGCCAATATTGCAAAATTTTGATCATAGGCTGCATTAAGTTCACCAATACTAAACATCATGGAAATAACAAGTATTCCAACTATACTAAAACCGACCAAGAGACCAACTGGTCCACCAGAAGCTAACGCATTTGAGATTCCGATAAACACACCTGGACCTATGACACCACAAAGGGCAATCAAATTGATCATACGGTTCTTTAATCCTGCATTAAGCCCATTATCTAATATATCATCACCTTTTGAATTTTTATGATATGGTTGCCTTGTACCCACTGGAGATGTCTCCACAACGGAGACATTGTCTGAAATTTGTTCTTTTCCACTATCCATTGAATCCCAATTTATTTGGCATACTACCAACAAATATCAGCTTCAATAAAATGAGGTCAAGGGCTTTTTTTTATATGTTTCTCCAAGATACAGCTTTATCTTTTTATCAGCCAGAAAGTTTAATTTTTTCAGCATCTGGATTACATAACCAAGCTGAAAAGCCGCGAAAAATGCTTATCTTCAAGTCGCAAAGTTTTTTCCAGTTTTATGATATAAAGCGTCGGTTTCTCAATTCATCAATCGTACTAAAAGTACAGGTCTATCTTAGATCCCAGTGAAGTAATGACTGTTGAAGATATTCAAAAAAGATTTGAGGCACTAGCAGCAAAAGTTCCTATCGTGGACACCCATAATGATTTCCCGTATACTCTAAGGGTTCAACTACATAACGAAATCTATAATGATCCAAACTTTGACTTTGACAAAATCCTTACGTCACATACTGACTTGGTTCGTATGAAGCAAGGTAAAATTGGGATTCAATTCTTCAGTTGCTTCATTGAATGTAAAGACCCTGATTACTTGTATGAGGATTTCAATAAAGCTAATTCAGCTGTTCGTGACACTTTGGAACAAATTGATGTTACTAAAAGACTAGTTGATGAATATTCACAACATTTGAGCTTTGTTAATACAGCAGATGAGGCTATGGAAGTTTTCCAAAAGCAAGACGGAAAAATTGCAATCACTCTTGGGGTTGAAGGTTTACACCAATGTGATTTATCATTGGCTGTTGTTAGACAATATTTCAGTTTAGGTGTTCGGTAAGTAAGAATCACGGTATTAACAATTTCATCGTACTAACCAAAAGAATATAGCTACATCACTTTGACTCATAACTGTGATAATCCTTTTGCCACAGCTGCTTCATCTGTTGATGCTGGTAAAAAAGACAATGGTCTCACTAAATACGGAGTTGATTGTATTAAAGAAATGAACAGATTGGGTATGATTGTTGATTTAAGTCATGTTTCTCATCAGACTATGTTGGATACGTTAAAAGTCACAAAATCACCTGTGATTTTCTCACATAGTTCTGTCTATTCGTTGACAAAACATGAAAGAAATGTTCGAGATGATGTTTTGTTGAAAGTTAAAGAAAATGGAGGTGTTGTTTGTATTAATTTTTTCCCCTTATTTTTGAGAAAAGAAGGAGAATCTAGTGTGACAATTGAAAATGCTGTGGAACATATCAAGTATATTATTGATTTGATTGGTTGGGATCATGTTGGTTTTGGTTCTGATTTTGATGGTATTCCATCAGGTCCTTCAGGTTTAGAAGACGTTTCTAAATACCCTGATCTTGTTGTTAAAGTGTGGGAGGCAACTAATGCAACCGAAGAGGACATTGCAAAGATGATGGGCTTAAATGTTGTGAGAGTGTGGAAAGAGTGTGAATTGGTCTCCAAATCCTTAAAATCAAGTAAACCGTTTGAATCCAATTGGGAAAAAAGACGTTGGGTATTTGAAGAATATTGCAAGGAATTCCCAGCAATGTTCCCTGGTGCTTATGAGTATAAAAACAACATTTACAAAAGTGATCAAAAATTGGATAACAGCACTGGTGAAGTGTAATTTTCTAATAATACGGTTTCATACGTATATGCGACAGTAGACATACTCTTCAGATCGCTTATCAGCATTGTATGATTTTTTTTCGCGATGTCGATGAGTAACAATTGGATGATATAAAAGAAGACTCAAATCTTCAAGAAAACTCAACTTCACCATTCAAATCCACCATTATCATGGCAAAATACGTTGTTTTAGGGGCAGGTATCATTGGTTTATACACCACGTACCATTTGATACACACATTGGGGATCGATGGAAAAGATATCAAGATTATTGCAGAGTATTTTCCTGGGGATCAGTCAATCAACTATACCTCACCTTGGGCCGGTGGTAACTTTTCCTGTATTACCTCAGATGACGAAGATGTCTTGAGATTTGATGAATTGACTTATACAAATTTACAATCAATCTTGGAAAAGATTGGTAAAAGTGCAGGCTTAGCGAGAAAGAAAAGTACTGAATTGTTTGATACCTACCCTGGTGATTTAAAAGTTGCTTCGTTAAAGAGTTATCTTGAGGAGTTCAAGCCAATCACAAAAGATAATTTACCAAAAGGTGTTGAATATGGTTTTACTTTTTTGGGTTGGAATTTTAACTGTCCAATTTTTTTATCAAATTTTTTGATTTACTTAAAGTCATTGGGCGTTCAAGTCTCTAGAACCAAAGTTGAACATATATCACAAGCATTCTTGCCAAAATCAAAAGTTGTTTTCAATTGTACTGGTATTGGTGCACGTTCATTACCAGGTGTTCAAGATTCAAAAGTTTACCCAACTAGAGGCCAAGTTGTTGTTGTTCAAGCACCTCATATCCAAGAAAGCAGAATGAGATGGGGTGAAGATTATGCAACATATATTATTCCTAGACCAGACTCAAACGATGAATTAGTTTTAGGAGGGTTCTTACAAAAGGAAAACTGGACAGGTGATACTTTCCTCTCTGAAACTGAAGATATCATCAAAAGAACAACGGAATTGTGTCCTGAAATATTGGATCAACCTTTAAAAATCATGAGAGTTGCTGCTGGACTAAGACCAAGTAGACACGGTGGTGTTAGAATTGAAGTTGAGAATATTGAAGGGAAATATTTGGTTCATAATTATGGTGCAAGTGGATATGGATATCAAGCAGGATTTGGAATGGCGTATAAGGCAATTGAATTATATGCCAAAGAATCAAAGATAAAATCAAGTCTATAAAACAAGATAATACACTCAAATTACATCACGATATTTCACCCAACCCTTTGTCTTATTTTCTCGTAAACTTACTGCGTAGATGCCAATATCATCTCTTTAAATACCTTATTGAGCCTTGAAATCTTGAAATCTATTTTCCTTCAGAGGGGTCAAAGTTTAAAAGTTGATCCGTTGCGACTCGGTTTTGCAGCCGCAATTGAAAAAGCGCGAATTCGAAGATCAAAAATCTGGAAAATTGTAAACTTCATCAAACTTAATACCTCTTCGAGATCTCCAACTTTCAGGGATTTCAACTGATCAACATCCATTATTCACGATCCGAGATGTTTAGATAGCTACTCCAATTTGGTCAATGCTAGCCTATTTGCTTGGCTGAAAGAACCCTTTGTCTTTTTCTCCAATATGCTTCACCGTATATAAATCTCATGAGAACTTCCAATTTCCAATACTTCTCAAATCATTGGTGAACCATCAATGAATCAAACTATCATGGTTGAAATTGACAAATCGGAAACTCAGTTCATTGAGGATATCAACACTTCCAATAACTCATCAAATGAATCACCAAATAATGATTTCAGTGACTTGAACGAAACAAAGCTTTTACGAAAAATGGATCTTCATATATTACCTGTGATTTCAGTCTTATACCTGTTGGCATATCTAGATCGTGGTAATATAGGAAATGCCAAAATTGAAGGTCTACCAGAGTCATTGAACCTTTCCAGTTCTGAATATAATATTTGTCTTACTGTGTTTTTTCTCACATATGCATCATTTGAAGTTCCATCTAATATGCTTTTGAAAAAAATCGGCAAGCAAAGTGTCTTTTTACCTACTATTATGCTCTGCTGGGGAATTGTTATGGTTTGCATGGGTGTTGTTCAAAACTACGCTGGTTTACTTATTACAAGATTATTATTGGGTTTGTTTGGTGAGTAAAGCAAACATATATCTGTTTACAATTTACTAACCGTATTTAATTTAGAGGCTTCATTATACCCTTCTATTGTATTTTGTTTAACGCAATATTATTGTAAACGTGAGATGCAATTCAGACAAGCTATTTTACATGGATCAGCTTCAGCTGCAGGTCGTTTCTCTGGAATCTTAGCCTTTGCAATTGCTAAGATGAACGGTGTTGGGGGTTATGAAGGTTGGCGTTGGATCTTTATATTGGAAGGTTTACTTACCGTCATTGTTGCTATCTCAGCTTATTTTTTATTATATGACTACCCTGATACAGCAAAGTTTTTAACTGAAAGGGAACGTGAATTCATCATTTGGAGATTGAAAAATGATTCAAATCCTTCAAAAAATTTGAATGATCTTGATTCATTTTCATCAAGAGAAAAACCTGACTTTCAAAAATTCAGTGAAGCTGATGATTTGTCCCTCAAGAAATCATTAGTTGCAGCATTGAAGTCGTATGAAGTATATCTTTATGTTCTCACTTATTACGGGGTGATTGTTCCAACCTATGGGTGAGTTAATCATTTTATCTTTTTTTCCAGATCTATTTCACTAACATGGTTTAGCTTTGCATTGTTTCTTCCTTCTGTTGTTAAGGAATTAGGTTATACAAGCTCAACAGCACAATTAATGACAGTTCCAATTTATGTCACCGCTTCAATTGTTTCAATCATAGTTGCATATTATTCAGATAAAACAGGGCTAAGATCACCATTCATTGTTGGTAGTTTATTTCTCGTTATGCTTGGTTATATTTTTGCACTAGTGGGTGAGGAGATTGGTTATCCAAACTTGATCTATGGTGGTGTTTACATTGCAGGAATTGGTGTTTATTCAGCATTCCCAGGTGCAGTTAGTTGGTTAGTTAATAACCTGGCAAATTCCAGGAAAAGAGCTATTGGTTTGGCTTTACAATTAGGAATTGGGAATTTCGGTGGTGCTTTTGCATCCAATTTTTACATTCCAGGGAAATATTCTATGGGACATGGTTTGGAAATTGGGTTTTCTAGTATGGGAATCATTGTTACTGGGATTATTGTCTTGTACAATCAACGTTGTAACAGAAAAAGGCAACGTGATTTGGCTAATGGGAAATATGATGAAGTCAGTGATAAAGAGTTATTCAGAATGGGTGATAAATCTCCTTTTTACAGATATAGTATTTAAACCATTTTATTGTTATTTAATCAGTACAATATTATCTTGGTTCCTTTATATTTTTTTAACAATGTGGTTAATTTTGCTTCATCTAATATTGAGTGTAATTTTTGATCTTGATAACTAGCGTCTAGAATTATAGATTTTATTTCATGACCTTCAAAACTCAAATTAAGTAACCTCTCAACTGTCCCAATAACATACTTTGTGTCATCTCGGATCTTACCATCGTAACCTTTCCCAACTTTAATAGCTTTACTCTTTGGACCTAAAGCCTTGAATAAATCACCAATTCTAACACGGCTAATTGATACTATTAACGTTAGACCTTTGTTATATTTATCGGTAAAGTCTTTGAAGTTATCCAAGTTTCTATTCTCTTTGTATTTAGAAGCATCAACGAAATCTGATTTAGTAAAATAATCTAAATGGGTTGCATCATCATTATACTTGATCAACAATTGTGAAAAATGGTGTCCTAATTCTGTAGAATTTAGCTGGGGGATTTTCTTTTTTAATTTCATATCTTGCTCCATCTTCACTCTTTTCTTTTCCTTTAGTTTATCATCAGTTTTTCTTCGTCTCTTTGCGCTTGGTTTTCCTTCATTATTATCTTGATCATTTTTGACCACTTCATCTTCAGATTGTTCATCTTCTTTGATTTCAACTCCTTCAGCTTCAGGTTCAGAGTCAACTTGGTAATCTAGTCCATCATCTAAGTCGTCTGGATTGTTGCTCATGTTGTTATTGTTTTCGTTCAGAGATATCTCGTTATTAGAAATGCAGATTTCAAGGTTTTGAAGATTTTTCTTTTTTTTTTTTTCGTATCGATGAGTAGTGCAAAGCTCAAAAGTGTTGAAGATAGTCGCGGAGGTCAGATTTGTTTGTTTACAATTTTTGAAGACGCCAAAACACTTGAGTAAGCGTGATTTCGACCAACAATGTCACAGAGAACACCAGAGAGAGTGAGTATTAGTCCAGGGTATCTACTTGAAAGAGGTTTTAACTTTGCCCTAGAAAACACCTTCAAGCAGCAGGAATCCGACACCTCACTCGAGAAGACGGTCTAAAACACCAGTGGGAACACCTAGAAGACGAAGAGCCACCATCGTATCAGCGAATCTTATAACTCCCAGAAGACACAGAAGACCAAGTGGCACTCCACAAAATACCTTGAGAATATTGTCAAGGGCATTGGCAAAGCAGGTAGTGGAAGAGCCTCCTGAAAATGAGATTAGTGATCAAGAGGAACACCGTCAGGCAACAGATCAATATGATATACAGGGTGATTATGCTGAATTTGACTTTCAAGAAGATTTGGACCGACAATATGAGGACACCATAGGGGAAGTAGATGCTGAACATAGATATAGTGGTAGTAAAAGTGACAATGAAAAGGAAATAACGGACCCATATTCGCCTGAAGATATTGAACAACAGAGAAGACTATCTATAAGCCATAGTGACAGATTTAGTCAACCAGGATTATCTGATATTGCCTTGCCGGTGGGAATAATGCCAGATAATGATCTTGACCTTGCTCCCTTCTCGGATCCTTTTCAATTCGATTTGCATCCAGAACCTGAAGCTTTACCTATGAGTTCTTTTGTTCATGAACCAAACACAAAGCCAGTCAAAACAACTACCAACAAAGCTCATCCAAGACCTAAGACAGCTAAGCTCCAGCTCCCTAAAAAATCAACTAACCCAATCAACGCTAAGAATCTTTGGAAATTTGCTGAAACGTTTTCGAGAAAATCACTCAATAAAGATGCTATCACAACATTGCAACAGACAAGCAACAGTTTTTTCACGCAAATTGCTTCTGATCTGGAAGCTTACACAAGGCATTCCAAAAATAAAGAAGTTATTGCAATTAAATCTGCATACCTCTTGTTGAAAAGACAAAGACAAATTGACTCAGTTGATTCTTTACTAGAGACTGTTGATGAGTTATTACCACTTGAAGAAGTATTGGAACTACGAAGAAATTTATACAAACTTCAAAAATAAACTATTCACAAGTAATTTAATTGCTGATCTCATGTAGGGACGGCTAGTCTTGAACTTTTGATCTCATTTTGATTAAATCTAACAATACGGTACAGCTCAAAGATAGAAGCAGGTGTAATTCCTTGAATTCTTCTTGCTTGACCAAGCGTTTCTGGTTGGACACGATTCAAAATATCCCTGCATTCTGCACTAATTGATTTTAATGTAGAGTAATCAAATTTCAATGGTAAAAACATAGATTCATCTGATTGGAATGCCTTAATGAAACCACTTTGTCTATTCACGTACGGTGAGTAAACACCTTCTATGGATACTTTTTTCAAAATGCGCTCCGGTATATTACTGAATTTTCTATCCAGCGCTGTCAAAACTTTTTTGATATCAACACCATTGAAGCGCAGCATATTGTACGCTGATTTTTTTTCACTGCCATCACCTATATTTATTTCAAGAATATTACTCCATTTTGCAGATGATAGCGTCACTGATTTCATCTCATCCAAAAGGTTGTCCAACAACATTTTGTCAGAACCATATCTTTGCCATCTTTCATCTTTGACAACGCCTAATTTTCTTCCAAGCTCCGTTAATCTTAAGTCAGCATTATCAGCTCTGACACTTATTCTAAACTCGGATCTTGAAGTAAACATTCTATAAGGTTCGTCAACTCCCTTTGTGATTAAATCGTCAATCAACACTCCAGTATAGGAGTTGGATCTTGATAACTTTAATTGCTCTTTGTCTTGATATGATAACCCAGCATTAATACCAGCAACACAACCTTGTGCAGCAGCCTCTTCATATCCAGTTGTACCATTTATTTGACCCGCAAGAAATAAACCTTTAACAAGTTTTGTTTCTAAAGTTTGACGCAACTGTCTTGGATCAACGTAATCATATTCAACACCGTAACCAGGTTGAAGCATTTCAACATTTTCCAGTCCTGGAATCAGTCTCAACATTTGAAATTGAATGTCTTCGGGCATTGTTACTGAAATACCATTTGGATAAACAACATCGGTATCTATTCCTTCAGGCTCGAGCCAAATCTTGTGGAACTCTTTGTCTGGGAATCTGATAATCTTACTTTCAATTGATGGACAATATCTTGGACCTTTGATAGTTTCACGAATATGAATAGATTTATCCAAATTATTGCGCAAAAGTTGATGCATTTCACTTGTTGTCTTAGTGGCATAGCATTTCAGTTGATTTTCAATAGAAACTTTATCATTCATATAACTCATCGTTTGAGGTGGATCATCACCGTGTTGAATTTCTAAATTGGAATAGTTGATTGTTTTTGACGATAACCTTGGTGGAGTCCCTGTTTTTAATCTTCCTAGTTGAAACCCAGCATCCTTTAGGGTCTTTGATATCCCAAATGTAGCTTTTTCTCCAATTCTACCAGCAGGATATGCAGTTAATCCAATATGAATTTCACCTCCTAGAAAAGTTCCAGTTGTTATAACAACTCTTGATGTTCTATAAACCCTACCATCTTCAAGTATGATACCTTTAATAACATTTGGTTCCTCTTTAGACAGTGTTTCTTCGATAATTATATCCTTAACTTGACCTTGCATTAAATTTAAAGATTCATAATCCATTAATACACTCTGCATTTCGTTCAAGTAAATTTTTCTATCGATCTGAGCTCTTGGACCCCAAACAGCAGGGCCTCTTGAGCTATTTAAAACTCTGAATTGAATACCTGCTTTATCCACCACCTTAGGAGCCACACCATCTAATGCATCAACTTCTTTCAATAATGTACCTTTTCCAACCCCACCCATAGAAGGATTACATGAACATGTACCAATCTTTGAGAGGTCTTGAGTTATGAGATAAGTTTCAACACCACTTCTAGCGGATCCTGTGGCAGCTTCACAGCCAGCATGGCCTCCTCCAATAACAACTACTGGTAATTCTTGAGCATTTCTAAGTGAATCTTGAAGTCCAGCGTTTATGGAAATATAACGATTCGATAGCGACTTCGAAAAAAATGATTTTGATGATTTCTTGAAAGCACATCGAAGTGTCAGCATCTCGTAGGTGGAATAAGACGAAGTAGAGAACGAGTATGCACCAATACTGAAGCCTTTCTTAGAAATGAAGTTTTGATAAATATTTCGTTTTATTTTTTTTAAAAAAATTGTCATTCGCGGGTACGACGGATATAACCGCCGTTTCTTCACCTTTATACGCTATAGTCATTTAATTACATCATTCAAAACAACAACAGGGAGTCTACAAGATGAATAAATGGAATATAATCTTATATTCGCTGAAGCAAAACAGTACGTAAACAATAAGAAAAAAGAAGCTTGAAAGCTTTGAAAAGAGAATGGGAAGTAAAATTAAGCCAGCTTTTTCCCTCCCATTCAAAAAACCCAAAAAAAACCTAGTATCGATACCATTGACCAGTGTGTACCCCCAAAACCAATCAAATCTATACCTTCACGCCTTACCACCTTCCCATATACAAATATTGAAAACAAAATAAAATAAAAAACACAAAAAATAGAAGAAAGATTAAATCATATTCCTTCCGCAAAACGTTCACCAAGAGCAGCTAGTGTTGCAAATGTCATGACAGCACCAACAGCAAGTCCTGTAAATCCTGCAGCAACGTGTGATCTGACACTGGATGTATAATCACTAGTAACAGGGGTGGACTTTTGTTTCTTTCTGATTGGTTGCAGTAAAATCTCATCAATATCTTCATCATCAAATCCGGAGTTGGAATCTGATTCAAAGCCAGGCTCAGAAAGCAAGAATGATGTATCATTTAGTTTTCTTTTACCTTGATTGATTACACCAAGGTCATTAACACAATCATCTTCGTTTTCATCATGATCTTCTTCAGAACCGCTGATAAGTTCAGTATCTTGCTTTGTATCCACATCGAAAAGATCAACATCTTCATCATCCTCATTATAATCATCGATGAGTTTGTGGTTTTCAACAGTAGCTTCACAAACCAGTGAATCCAGCTCTGGAACAGTATCCAATTCCACGACTTCTTCAGACTCAGAGCATTCTAAAGAACCATCAGAAGGTAATTTCACATTTGAAGCATAATCAGTTGACTCATCAATTCTCAACGCTTCAAAGGCCTTTGGATCCATCTGTTCAACATCCAATGTAGTGGTTGTGGTGCCTGATTTGTGACTGATAATGTTAGTTTTAAACTTTAACAAGATTTTACAAGATTTAACTGAAGCATCCTTCCAAGAAGAATCTGGTGTGAAGTAAACGGTATCTGGATCAGCAGTAAAACAAGAGTCAGAATGGAATTGATTTTTATTCAAAATATCAACAAGACCAACATAATCATTTTCTTTAATTCTGATTTTAGTATTTGTAGGGATACGTTTGTTCCCCCAAACCACACCATGTTGGGAACCTTGATCTTCTAATACAATAGAAGGAACACCAGCTTTTGAAAACTCAATTTTCACAGAAGCATGAGACTTGGAGATTGTTCTTTCATTAAAATACAAATTTCCTTTGTCTGCCACTCTTGATAACTTGTGCACCTTATCAGTCCCTGATAACTGATTTGGAGTACGGGCAGCTCTACCAATTTGAATTGTGAAAGAGCTGGAAAGGGAAGGGTCTAGTTCAATAACTCTGTGGGAAATATCAGACGATGGCATTGCAGCTTTGATATGGAAATATTTCAATTGAGTCTTAGCTTGTTAAAGGGCCTTTGTGCTTCTTATTTGCCACATTAAGACTGGTTTTTTTTTTCTTTGTAATTGACATCTTTTTTTTTAACAGTGGCACATTTTCTGAGAAACGCGGAAAAATCTGGAGAAGGTTCAAGTTTTCTGAAGTTTAAGGCAGAGAAGCCGGTGATTTTGGGTGCTAGAAATTCAACTTTGAAACTCAATTTTAAGAAAAGTTTAAGCTGAAACCACTCACAGTACATTTCTCTTTAGATTATCTCTAATTATTTCAGCACCAAAAGGATCGAAAAAAATACGCGTTACCCTCCCGGTCAGGGCCGGCTCAGGCGCACTGGCTACGAATTCGCGAAGAAAAAGTACACCTCGAAAAAAAAAAATAATACAACCATAACCCAGAATTAAGCTTGCAACAACTTTATCAACTACTTATTCCTCGAGAATCTAACCGAAAACTGTTATTGCTAATTTGATTGTGAGATTTATGCTTGCTAATAGTGCTCAAGACTGAACTCTCCTGTCCAAGATGTCCTTAAACTCTCCCCAGATACTCAACAACAATAATACCACCAATAATAACAATAACTCTGAATATTTGAGCAAACAGAGCTATTACTCTTCACCTCTAGATAACTTCCAAGAAAATGATACACCGCCACAGCAGCATCACAATGCAATCATCGATCCCAATAATCATTTCCAAAGTCATAATCACACCCATCCAAATTCTCATGTGTCAACACCAATATTGAATGATTCACATACACCGGGTTCTGAACATCCATCGACTCATCATCATCCTCATCAACAATTATCTGCTCCCCATCAACCATCTGCTCCTCATACTTATGATGAATTTTCCAACAATTTCACCTCCATTGCAGGATTGAACCTCAATTTTGGTAATAATGCACCTCATCATAGTTCTAATGAAAATTCAAATTATATCACCACAGCACCAACTTCTTCCACTTCTTCATCTGCAAATAGCCATCAAGATAGCACATCAAGTGCAATCGTTACTCAAACTCATCAACAAGCACCTGCGGAGCAGCCTTTCTATGTCAATGCCAAACAATATCATCGTATACTGAAAAGAAGAATTGCCAGAGCAAAATTGGAGGAGACCTTAAAAGTGGCAAGAGGAAGAAGACCTTATTTGCATGAATCAAGACATAAACATGCAATGAGAAGACCAAGAGGTCAAGGTGGTAGATTTTTAACAGCTGCTGAAATTGCAGAAAAGGATCGTTTAGAGAAGGAAAAAGCTGCAGTTGATGCTTTGAACAACAACAATAATCAAAACGAGCAAGTTGAAAATAACAATAACAATAATAATAATTTGTCAAATTCCAATAATTCAAATATCAATGCCACACATCAGGCCCAAGAACCTTCATTTGTTTAATGTTTTACGAACTTTTAAAAAAGAAATGTGGAAGGGATGATAAAATCATCTTCATCCTGAAACTTTTTATACAACACTAAGGTGAAAGCCCTCTTTTTAATGTTGAAATGATTTTTTTTATGCTCTGTTTTTCTTTTTTTTAATTTAACGTTGATGATCTTTTTTGAATGTTGTACTCAACAGTGCTCGACGGCGACGTTATTTATGATCTTGTGATCAATCAATCCTTCACGTCACGATTCAATATATGGTACATCTGATCAGCCGCCGCCTCAGTATAGCTAGGCATTTAATGTTAAAAAGGACAAGTAGCACAAGTGATATTACTCAAAGAGAATGGGAACATTAATTCGCCCTACATAGAGATAACGTGGGATTCGACAAAGCAAAAAACCATTCAAAAGAAGTACAATATAAATAACTATAATACTAGCAGATAGGCCGACTAGATCTAATTCAATGGGTACGATTAATTTAATCATGAGTGAGCGAACTTATATTGAATATAATATATTTTATATATTAATACACAAAATTATCATGACTTGCTGGAGACACGGTCTAATATCATCATGACCGTAGCGCCGCCAGCTGAATATCTTAATGTAATTATATTATTATATTAATTAAAAGTTGCGCTGGTAAATAAATTAGCTAGTGCTGGAATATAAAAAAACTAGCGGCCAGCGCCTGTAAGAATAATTATATTCGTTAATTGTCATAAATTATAATATATTTCATATATTTAATTAATATATTGTTATAAATAATATTATTAATGATATTATATTAAATGATCAATTAATTTATAATCTAGATATATATATTATATAATATAAATATTATTATATTTAAAAGATCATATTGATAATTTAATGAAAAAAATAATGCGCTAATTAATTCATGTATCAACAAATGGTGTGCTTAACAGCTAATTATCATAAGTATCGACGACGACGTAACTGATCAACTTACATTGCAGAGTAATATTCTTTGAATAAACGTTCACCGATCGTATAATAAATATAGGATTAAGCCATATAATATTCAGCTCAATAGCAAGTAACATCATGGCTAAACTTCGACATCGTCAGCTAATATTTTCACCGCATGTCGACGTTCTTGCTGTACGTTTTCACAGCTAGAATATCAATATTAATGTAATACAATGGTACATGGTTATTTTAGGTTGAACTACGCGATGAATTAATTTTCGAGGGTATAAAAGAATAACATTTCAAGATCAATACACAACTGTACTCATTAGACCTTATAATCCCAAAGAACTCAAACCTTTCACAGCATCTGCGGATAATTGGGACTTGACTGGATTGAGAAACCCATTATTTGATTCTGCATTCAATTTTGTTATACTTTCAACAAAATAACTTTTACCCCCATCCAAGTTGCTTATGCTTGGTACAGGATCAAATGGTTTAACGCTGATTGTAGATAATCTTGAAAAATTAGATCCAAAGGACGAGATCTCTTCCAGTTCTAAATCAAGCACTTCTTCATGATCTCCCTTGATATTAAAGATCGATTCACTTGTAATTATCTTTGTTAAGCATTCAAATGTTGGAATCAACAATTTAGTGTAGTCACCGTTGATGAAAACTGAAGATGTGGTCAAATTTGTTAACCCAATAACAACAATTTTTTTGTCTAATAAATTACCAATATTAACAACTGATGGTAATAAAAACTGCTCGTAAATTGTACCAAAAATACCACTTTGAACCTGTTCAATAAAATTGATAGCATATTCTGCGCTTGATTTGATAATTGTCAATTTACTTATAAAAATAACCAATTTCTTAACAAATTTTTCGGTTCTTGAGCTTTGTAATCTTTGCAGCAATAAGATAGCAATTTGCTTAGTATACTGGTCGATTGAATTGCCAGGGAATTTGGTAATAATAGTCTCTAGTAAATCAAATCCATAATTCTCATTCACCTTTGAAGAAATCAATTTTTGGAAAACACCTAGCAACGGAGATAGTTCACCAAATACACTTGGATCTTTGGAAATGATGGCTTGTAACAATCTGGTGACAGCTGGAATATTACCTTTGAATTCCCACACACTTGGTGACAATAACGGTTGAACTAATTGCTTATAAGTATCCGGTAATGGTGAACCTTCAGGTTGAATTTCCAATAAGAAGGCAAAAATTTGGAAAGTATACGGAACAAACTCTTGAACGTCTGACCCCAAAATATTCAACAATGTAGGAATTATGATTTCAACAAATTTGCTTAAATTTGATTTATTATTGTACTTGATTAAGACACTAATTGATTCAAAGGTAAAATGGGAAAACTTTGGGTTAGATGGATTTTTGGAAATTATTGAAACAATAGATAGTAGCTGCTCCAATATACTAACACTATAACTTTCAATTGCATCTTCAGCAATAACTAAAACTCTCATGACAGTTTTCATCAAGAACTCGTTTTCAGCTAACTTTTCAGGTGTTTGATTATTTTGCAAGATTAACCTAAACAAATTAGATAACAAATCTTGAACGAATGGTTGCAAATCAGACTTGTTGAACATTAAACCTTGGTTTTCATCTCTGATTGATAAAATTCTTTCAATAGTGATGGCAGCGTAAGTGTACTCAACAAACTCAGTTGAATGTAAATGCTTTGTTAAAATTGGGAAAGATTCTAACAATTGTGCTTTTGTAAGTTGATTTCTAAAAATGTAAATATATTTGATAGCATCAACTTTCAAAATTGGATGGATATTATCATTCAATAAATCTGAAACAATATTGTTGGTGAAAAATTGCACAACATCCAATAAAAGGTTAGTCGAAGAAATACCAGAGCTGGTAACGGAACCTTTCGCAGCCAATGCAGTAAACAAGTACAACGTCAAGTCTTTAAATTTCCAATTTGTTGGTTCAGCTTGATATTTGGACAAGTAATGGTTAATATAACCCAACACAACTTGTGTAACAAGACTTTCATTTTTGGATTTCAATTCTCTCAAAAAATCGATCGAGGCCCTTCTTCTGGTATCAGAATCTGACCCTTCTAGATCTCTTCTAATATATTCAATTGGATCGTCTTCAAATAATTCTTCATCACTTTCTCTGACAGTCAAATTTGGAATGATAATTCTTTCAGTGATTTCTTTTAATGCAGTTTCGTTGTTGAAAATTTCTGAATGCTTTGGTAATTTGGCAACCGATGTTAAAAATGATAACAACTTGCTAACCAAAATATCATACCTTGACTGTAACCCAGTGGTGGTTAAAAGGTTCCATGTGCTTTGAACAAATTGTGGAATCAATGCATCAAACTCCTCTTCATATCTTGTGGTGTATAGTTGAATTAATTCGGAGATAGCTGTTTTCACCTTGGAAACAACTTCGATGTCATCAGAATCATCATCTTCCGGCTTTAAAAGATCATTTGAATAGATTAAATATTTATGAATGATAGACATACCTTCATTCATATGATCTTCAAAGAATTCTGGTAAATCTTGACAATTCAAGTCAAAATAAATTTTAACTAATAACAGTAACACATCAAAAAGAATAGCCAATTGTGCTTTATTGGAGCTATTGGAATCAATCAAACCATCAACTTTTTTCAACAAATTCAAAAAAGGAACGGAGAATTTCTCTAAAACCAGTTTAATCTCCAAAAATAGAGCATCAGATCTGAATAAGGGTCTCCATCTTTTGAAAATAGAATGAGCCACTGTTAAAACACCAATATTTGTCACCATATCGTCTTCAGATAGTTTGTTGACTAAATCATCAATCAATGAAGGCCATCTTTCAGGAAAGTCAGAGTCTGCAATAACTGAGATTGCTTCACCGATTTGAATCTGTAAGTTATTTGGTAATGAAATCATTAATGGAATGATTTCTGATTTAATTAAGTCAGTGTCTTGGATTAGATAGTTACCATTTTCGTCAACCCATTTTCTTTTGATGAAATTCTTGAAAAACAAAGCAGCTGCTAATCTGCTTGATATTGGTAAGTTAGCAGAAGCGACGACATGAAGTAATGAAAGTGAAAAGCCTTGATTCGATTCTTGTGATCTCAAACTTTGTTCAGCTTGCTTTGATGTAGCTGGGTTTAAGGACTGTTCCAGCAAGAACGCAATTGATTCCAAGTCTGACATTCTTTCTATATTTACTAGCGCCTTGTGTGAATCAATTGATGGAAACTCGCAAGCTGTTTTATCTTTTGGAATACTTTTAGAGCTTTGGGCAAAAAAATCTACTAATTTTTTTTTCGATTGAAATCGAAACGAAAACATTTGAAAAAAGAATTACATAAGCTCTGATCTGGTTAGCACAGCAACCAGCTCAAAACGGGAAAACATAAACAAATGGATAAACTCAACAGTCTTTTGGTAATTTTCGTTATTTAATCTCATCGTATCACAGCTTCAGACTGAAGTTTTCTGCTCGTAAAGGACCCCAGTATACCAGAATTCAAGGAATATGTTGTCATTGGCGAATAAATTTTCACTGCTCTGAGATGTGTATCTTTACCATGTTGATGATTAGCCAAAATTAGTAACCGAACTAAAAAAGTCTTTAAGCATTTCCCACCAATTTCTTGCTCCTCATCAAATGGAATATGTGTCCATCCGCTTGGTTGGTTTAGTTCCACCGTAGTGACTTCAATTAAGTCATGGAACCCATTGCCTGCTAAGAATGTGATTTTGGACGGTGTATATGATTCATCACGAGCAAAGTCTGTGAAGATTGATATTCTAGAGATGGAAACTTTTTTGGAGAAATGAATGTCAAGATAATGTGGTTGTGCTCCATCTGATTGCCAAAAGGATTCTGGATTATCTTCCCTTAACTCTTTTATCCCTGAGCCTACCTTGCAGGAGGACACAGACCATGCTCCAAGAGCCCCAATATCAACAAGCTTCAGCTCTTCCATATCCCTAGTTCCTTCAAAGCTATTAACGATGTGAACTTTTGAATTGTGTCAAATGTAACTTACCTTGAACGTATTCGAGATTGATGTCTCTGCTTGAATCAGCATCCATACCATCTTCTAACTCCTCTTCCTCTGAATTCATACTGTTACTTTCATCTGGTATATCTTGCCACGAGTCTGACATTATCGATCAACAAAGCTTCAAATGAAGAAAGTTTGTTTTGTTGTTTTGTGGTAACTAACCTACGCGCCCAAATATTTAAAATCAAATTCGCGGATCTTCGCGAATTCATTCTGGAAAAATGGCCAAAAAACTGTTGATTTTATTTCCTGGAGAAGTTACACATGATGGATTTACTACAACGACACACAAAGGCATTAAAGATATCAAAGATATACAATGTCAGCTAATCCTAACCCCACATTTAGTCACCTACTACCTCTCAATGGTGAATGGAAACAAGATGTCACTAAGTGGTTGAGTGAAGATGTCCCATCGTTTGATTATGGTGGATATGTCGTCGGTGAAACCCCAGAAACTGCAACTTTATGGTGTAAACAAGAAGGTGTTATTTCAGGCATTCCATTTAGTGAGGAAGTCTTCAAGCAATGTAAGGTGGAAGTGGAATGGTTAGTGGAAGAAGGGCAATACTTATCCCCAAACGGTAAATTGGCTGTTGCCAAAATCAGAGGTCCTGCTAGGAATATATTATTGGCTGAAAGAACAGCTTTGAACTTATTAGCAAGAGCGTCGGGTATAGCTACACAATCTTTCAAAACTATATCACTTGCCAGAAAATCAGGTTATAAAGGAATCATTGCCGGTACTAGAAAAACTACACCAGGCTTGAGAAGGTTGGAGAAATATTCAATGTTGGTTGGTGGTTGTGACCAACATAGATATGATTTGAGTTCGATGGTTATGCTAAAGGATAATCATATCTGGTCAACTGGATCAATTACATCTGCCGTAAAAAACGCAAGAAAAGTTTGTGGTTTTGCCGTCAAAATTGAGGTTGAATGCCAAACTGAACAAGAGGCTGATGAAGCTATTGAAGCAGGTGCTGATGTAATTATGTTGGATAATTTTGAGGGTCCTGATCTAAAAATTGCTGCAAATAACTTGAAAGCTAGATGGACTGGTAAGAAATCATTTTTATTGGAATGTAGTGGTGGATTGAGATTAGACAACTTGGAAGGATACCTAACAAATGAGATAGATGTCTATAGTACATCATCTATTCATCAAGGAGTGTCTTATGTTGATTTTAGTCTAAAAATTGATCAAAAGTAAATTTACCTATACAGTTACATATACATATGGAAGTAAAATAAAATTTAAGAAGTTGCTATTACTTGTAACCATAAGCTTTCCAATTTTGCTCGACTTTTTCCTTAATTTCGGTATCATAGGTGTCATATTCGCAAGTAGTGAATTCGATGTCCTTTTCATATTGTTGTGGGAAAATGCAATTTGTAACAACTTTACCACCTTTCATAGACTTAATTCTTGGAGATTGGGAGACAAAAGGTGCCAATGCGAAAGGACGAACATCAGGAAAATAGTATTGATCATCATGAGGTGTGTGTCTGGTCGTATAAGCCCAAATAACCTTTCTAAAGTCAAAAATGTCAATATCATCACCAACCAAAATAATTTCATGAATGATGCTAGCGACTTTATGATTGTAATAAATATCACCAATCTTTTTGGCAAAACTTTCAGGTGTTGTGCCTAAGGCTTGTAGTTTTTTCAAATCCACCTTAAAGACTAGCCATAATGCTTGTGATTCATAAGGGGAAAACACGTCAATAATTGGTAAATCATGCTCTATAGCTATTTGTTTGGCTTCTGCAGAGACTAGAGTACCAATAAAGGTATGAGTTTCATCTGGCGCCAACCCTGGATTTGAAACTGGTAAAATCGAGTTGTTTCTGTAAGATATTGAATCAACAGTGTAAGTAGGGCATGGATGACCTTGACCTTTGAAAACATAACCATGCATTTCTCCAAATGGACCTTCCGGTGTTAGATGATTCAAGTCCAAAGTACCTTCCATCACTATTTCTGAAGTTGCAGGAACCATTAGTTCGTTTGTTTCAGCTTTAACAACAGGTAACGATTCTCCCAATAAAGCACCAATATAATCTGATTCATTAACACCTTCTGGGATTGGCATTGATGATACTAAAATTGCTGCAGGTGGAACACCAAATGCTAAAGCAAAAGGAATTTTATCACCTTTACCAATTTTAGCCCATTCATCAGCAACGACTTTAATATGTTGAGGATTGATAACTAATCCACTAATATGTCTTTCATCAACAACCATACCTCTTGCAATAGACCAGTTTGTCCATTTCTTATCAGGTGTTTGTAAGACCCACATACCATAAGTTTGTAAATATTTACCACCATCATTTGGGTGTAACAATGGATTTGGTAACTTTGTCAAATCAATATCATCTCCCTGCAGTAAATTTTCTTTAACTGGTGCATCTTTATTGGAAACTTCATGAGGTGGAATAGGTTTCTTAGTCTTAGCTTCCAATAAATAGTCAATAATGTTCTTAACATGAGTATTTGATGGTAAACCTAAATGATGAGAAATTCTTGCATGTGAATCCTCTTTACCTGATCTTAGCCCCCCTGGTGCACCTAAAATTCTGAACAAGTTTTCCTGGTGACCTTTCAAGTTGTTGAACAAAGGTGCTGGTAGTTTTTCTTCATATACTTTTCTCGTTATGGCTCCGACTTCTAAAATGGGATCGATCTCTTGTTCAATCTCAACCAAATCCCCTTCATTCTTCAGTTGTTGAATAAAGTCTCTGAAACGAAGGGCTGGCTTCAATGTGCCATTCGAGGCTCTTGCAGTATTGTGGAATGTTCTGGTGATGACTTTGGACATTGTGATTCACTGCTGAGTTGATAACTTGTGTGTTAAGAATGAAGAAACATTTAGCTCTTTTTGTTTTCCACGTATGTGCTTCGGTAATAGAGTAAAGTATCTCGCCGATTAAGTTTCATTTAACCCTGAAATCAATATTACAAGACAACTCCATCCTGTTCTGTTCTCTTTTTTCTTTCAATTCAGTAACACAATTCATACTTCATAGTCAACAGTGCGTGAATCGTAGGCTTTGGGGCAAACGTACAGTGTTAATTTTGCTCGATTTTAGAGGATAAACGCGCCAGGCCTTAAATCAACTGTACCGTTATTAACGTCCTGTCAAAGCACAGTTACAAACCTAATCGACTGGTCTTTTTTTGGCCTCGCACTCTCATCAGTCATATTAGACACAGGCCCATTCAGTACCAACATACGGTTATTTATTATACTTATTGCCCCATACCTCTCTTTAATACTTGTATCTGTACTTCGTAGATTAGTTTGACTGATCCTTCACTAAAAAAAAAGAAAAAAGCTGTTCACCGAGCCGGTTGGAATTTATTCAACAATACAATTTCAGTATTACGATTTGACCTTCCTCATCTCACACTTTCCAAAGAAATGGGATACTGCAATATAGCACCAGAGATATGCTTCATCCCATAAAAAGATCCTATGGGAGACCTTGTATCAATCAGGCAATACCCAAACACTCCTTGATTATTCCAAGAAGACATTACTCAATAAATGATCTTGAAAGGGCTAAAGCTAAGCAACAGGAATTTGAACAGGATGAATACAAAGAGTTTCAAGAGTTTAAGAAATGGAAAGAACATAGTGCTAGACAGCTGGCTGAAACCAAACCAAAAAGAATCGTTGTTGCAATTACTGGTGCTACTGGTGTTGCCATAGGTGTTAAGGTACTAGAAATGTTGAAAAAGTTGAATGTTGAAACACATGTCATTATTTCTAAATGGGGGATAGGCACCATGAAGTTTGAAACTGACTATACACTAAAAGATATTGTTGATCTTTCTTCCTTCCATTATTCTGTGAAAGATGTTTCAGCTCCAATTTCAAGTGGTTCTTTCCAACATGATGGTATGATTGTGGTCCCTTGCTCTATGAAAACACTATCGGCTATTAAAACAGGTTACACAGAGGATTTGATCGTTAGGGCTGCTGATGTTACGATAAAGGAAAAGAGGAAACTGTTGTTATGCGTTCGAGAAACTCCGTTATCAAGTATCCATTTAGAAAACATGTTATCACTAAGTAATAAAAATGTTATCATATTCCCACCAGTCCCTGCATTTTATACTAGACCTAAAACTATAGACCATATCATCCAACAAACTTCTGGAAGGATTTTGGATTGTTTTGGCTTTGATACTAAAGAATTTCCAAGATGGAATGGTATTCAAAATCCAAACGTTGTTGAAGATGAGTGAAAAGAATGCCCTTTTTTAGATGCCCTTTTTTAAATCGAAAGATAGACTTGTTGAATTTAGTGCGATGTAGAGCAACCACAAAAACAATTTGTTTTTACTCTCAAGAACTTGAACTCTAGTACGCGATTTTCTTTCAATTAATTCGCGACCTGATAAAAAAAAACACTTTAACGCGTTTTTTGTAAACACTTGACTTCTTGAGTATCCTTCAAACAAACTCAACTAATGAAAGTTGAAAAGAAGTGTAAGATTTCAAAACCAAGTAGGAGGACAAACAATAATGGTATCTTACAAGATATAACGTCTAGCCTTGGTAATGCGGACAAAAATTCTTCAGCTTCCAAAGATTTTGAATCCAGTACACCAAACTCATCACAATCCATCACTCAAATTTCGTCACCAGCTTCATCACCACAAGAGAAAACTTATGTGATACAGCAGCCCACAAAGCAAGCTCTATTGTCCTTTGGAATTGAGGAGAGAAAACAGTGTAATGATTGTGGTATGTCATATTTGAAAAATGTTCAATCGGATATAAAGATTCATCATAAATATCACCAAAAATGTTTGAACGGTAGAGATTGGAGTGAGAATTGGGGAGAGAAACTCGTTTCCTTTGGCTCAAATCAGTATATTTGCTGTGTTAATCCAAAGAATCTTCCTGAGACCAAAGCAGCTTTGGAGTTATTAGAGATTGTTAATCGCGATTTGAATGCACCAGATGATAATGAATTTTGGATGAAGAATGAAGATTTAGGGAAAGTTTTCGTGTATGTTAAAGACAAAAGAGCTATCGGGATTGTATCTATTGAACGTATCAAATCTGGGAAATGGTTTTCAGTGGATGATGGTAAAGTTGTCAGTAAGATTGACGTGGAATTATTAGCTGGTATTAGTCGAATTTACGTGAGCAAAAACTTTAGAAGATCAGGAATAGCATTACATCTTCTTCAAACGTCACAAAAACATTTGATATATGGACTGATTGTTCCTAAATCTAAATATGGCTGGTCTCAGCCAAGTTCTTCGGGTGGCAAATTAGCTAAACAATTCAATGGAGTCAAACATAAATCAGGTAAAATATTGATTCCTGTATATACTTGAATGTACAAAGATGGTAAAATTCGGGGATTCTGTAGCGTGACTTGCCCTCGTAACTGCTTTTTTTTTTTTTTTT